TTAGATTATGTCAACTACACTGACCTTAAGTGATTTTGTCAACTACACTAACCTCAAGAGATGATGTCAACTACACTAACCTCAAGAGATTATGTCACCTACACTAACCTCTTTAGATTATGTCACCTACACTAACCTCTTTAGTTTATGTCAACTACACTGACCTCTTTAGATTATGTCAACTACACTGACCTTAAGTGATTTTGTCAACTACACTAACCTCAAGAGATGATGTCAACTACACTAACCTCAAGAGATTATGTCACCTACACTAACCTCTTTAGATTATGTCACCTACACTAACCTCTTTAGTTTATGTCAACTACACTGACCTCTTTAGATTATGTCAACTACACTGACCTTAAGTGATTTTGTCAACTACACTAACCTCAAGAGATGATGTCAACTACACTAACCTCAAGAGATTATGTCACCTACACTAACCTCTTTAGATTATGTCACCTACACTAACCTCTTTAGTTTATGTCAACTACACTGACCTCTTTAGATTATGTCAACTACACTGACCTTAAGTGATTTTGTCAACTACACTAACCTCAAGAGATGATGTCAACTACACTAACCTCAAGAGATTATGTCAACTACAGTAACCACAAGAGATTATGTCAACTACACTAACCACAAGAGATTATGTCAACTACACCAACCACAAGAGATTATGTCAACTACACTCACCTCAAGAGATTATGTCAACTACACTAACCACAAGAGATTATGTCAACTACACCAACCACAAGAGATTATGTCAACTACACTCACCTCAAGAGATTATGTCAACTACACTAACCTCAAGAGATTATGTCAAATACACCATCCTCAAGGGATTATGTCAAATACACTTACCTCTAGAGATTATGTCAAATACACTTACCTCAAGAGAATATGTCAACTACACTAACCTCAAGAAATTATGTCAACTACACTTACCTCAAGAGAGTATTTCAACTGCACTAACCTCAAGAGGTTATGTCAACTACACTAACCTCAAGAGATTATGTCAAATACACTTACCTCAAGAGAGTATGTCAACTACACTGACCTCAAGAGAATATGTCAACTACACTTACTTCAAGAGATTATGTCAAATACACTTACCTCAAGAGAGTATGTCAACTACACTTACCTCAAGAGAATATGTCAACTACACTAACCTCTTTAGATTATGTCACCTACACTAACCTCTTTAGTTTATGTCAACTACACTGACCTCTTTAGATTATGTCAACTACAACACTTACCTCAAGAGATTGTGTCAACTACACTAACCTCAAGAGATTATGTCAACTACACTAACCTCAAGAGATTTTGTCAACTACACTAACCTCGAGAGATTATGTCTACTACACTAACTTCAAGAGATTATGTCACCTACACTTACCTCAAGAGAGTATATCAACTACACTAGCTTCAAGAGATTATGTCTGGTGAGGTAAATTTCGAGTTCTGTTGTTCTCTGTCTTTCGCGCCGTTTCTCGTAATTTTGTCGACATGTGTCTGCCAGGATGTTTGTTCGATTTTAACTCAGACGGTCACTTGATTGCTAACATTTTTTATGAATTAATCCTTTTAATCCAAGGCCAAACTGCTAATTCTCTTTATTATATATATCCCACCACAGGCCAACTACTGATATCATATATTGGACTATACTGTACATGCGCACTGTGTTGATGGATGAACAACTTTGAATGTTTTGCTGGAGACAGTTGATTTTTGTAAAAATATTAATCATGACTTAAGTCATGTACATTGTCAACAACAAACATAAGCTATGTACAGCTTTTATTATGACGTCCCTAACTAATTAGGGAACACATGTTGTTTTCGTGGTGGGAGAAAACCAGTGCCATCAGAGGGATAACAACAACCCTTTCAGACAGAACACCTTTTCCGCCACCCAAATGAACATGTACTGTTGGACTTGTGTGTATAATTAAGTAGCATGGCTTGAAAAATGGCTATATCACTACTGTATTTATCATCAGGTACATTGTTGGTAATATAAAAGTACCAACATAAAGATGATTTAGCCAACCTCCGCCCTGGGAGGGATGAGATACTTGGCCCTGAGTTCTTCCCTGATATCCTACAGATAATCACACAGATATTTCTACCTGCTGCTGATGGTGCTACTATTTACCTGAGAACAACAGTATTAAGGGGAAAAGGTATGGCAGGAAACGACACTGATGCCAGTCTTGACAGCCGTACATTGTGGAATATGGACAGTTTAAGAACATATTTATCAAAAAGAGGTTTACCAGTAGAAGGTAACAAGGCTGAACTTACAGCATTGTGTTTCTCAGCAAGGAAATTGAATATGTCTATTGTTCCATCTAAAGAAGAAATAGTAAAGTCTAATCATAAGCAATATTGTGCTAATCTACAAACATTTGATATCCGTGACCCCCTTGCAGTAATTAATGGATGGATGGATGAAAAAAGCGGAATGCCATCATGGCCACCTATTTACATCGGTGATATCACATCTTTTCTAATGAAAAGCTTACCTGTAAGTGAATGTCAACGCCATTGTAATTACTATAAAATAGGGAAAGCTTATGAATAATTCCACTGTGGCTGGCTGAAGGAGGTATTTACAACCAGAGAGAAAAATCTGTGGCTGCTACGATCCAAGTGCTCTCCTTCCTTTAGTCCAAAAGATGACCCATATAATGTGTGGGTGTGTGCAGACCCCTCCGGAGAGAATTTGACAGCCTTCTGCTCCTATACAGCTGGGTAAATACTAAATTAAAAGCATTAACCCCCTCCCCCCTGTTTAATAATCCGGTCTTTTTCATGACAGGATTGGCAGTTGCGTACATAGTTGTGGTCGTCGATGTGATCATCTGGCAGTTGATCATGATCAGTACTATTATCATCATTACTGTTGTCTTGATAGGGGAAGATGGACAGGGGACTTTCTAGACTTCACAAGCTTGCCCTCACCAAGATTTTGTGTGTGGAATGGGTTCAGGGCAGTTGGAAGACCATCCACAAAATGACCGGAGCAGATCCTGGAGTCCTTGGATGGCGTCCAATTTTTATCTGTGGTTGGATTCTTTCTATTGACTGCAGCAGTCCATGCTTGCTTGGCATTTTCATTTTTGGTAGGAAATGCAAATAAATAGAGTGGGTGGTTAACAAACGCATCGTCCTACACCAAAGTCTATCTTGTGAATAGGACATGTATCCTGACTCCATTGTTTTTAGCTTGTATCAACTGTTTGAGCATTGTGTAAAGGCACACATTCTATTGCTTGCCATACTAAAGGTATATGTTATTGATGAACAAATGGAGAAATTGATTAAGTTGGTCAACAATATAAAAGAAACAATTTGAACACATGTATTGCTCACCAAAGTGATAACATTCTGAAATAAAAAAATAAAAAAAAGAGATTCCAATACATGAAATTCACAAATGGTACATGTACATTCATTGTATTTTGGTTGTACATATATGTTTGATATATATTTTATATTGTACTTGTATTTGATAGACATTTACCTGTACAATACCTGAGTTACCAGGACTATTTCTAAAATGGTATATTATGAGCTGAAAAAAACATCAGGCCAAGCAAAACATATTTGGTGTTTCAGGTAACCCTATATAGCTACTGTACTGCATACCTTAATTGTTTGTGCCTACGGAAAACTTGTAAAGGTAATTTTCAAAGAAGCACTGTTAAAGTCAAAATTATTTGTTAAAATAAAATTTGTTATATACCTACCTACCCTAAACATTTTCCAACATGTTGCAGGAAACACAAATATTGTTTTGTCTGGCCTTAATAGGAAGGTAAAGATGGATGAAATGCAGCGAAGAATTTCATTTACATGGTAGCAAAACTATTCTTTTATATTTTAATGAAGTTTATTGAACTAAATTTAAATCGAACTGTGGGCATCATTGATACACCTGCTCCTTCCATATTTATAAAATTTGATGCCAATTTATGAAACATGTTGTGTAACCTGTGTTACCTTGTTTTTGAAGTAAAGTTCAAAAGTCAAAATGAGGACTTACAGGTCACAGTAAACAATTTTTAAGGTATGACACACTGCCTTCTCTTTATGTACCTATACATTTTGTATATGCAAAGTTTAGTATCCATTCCTGAAACAGCGGCTAAGATATGTTCTGGAAAACCGTTACTTCAGTACTAAGAATATTGGTCAAAGGTCAGAATGAGATTAGCATTTTAGGATGCAGCACATCGCCTTCCCATGATGTACCTATATGCAAAGTTGATGCCCATTCGTGTTGTGATATGCTCCAGAAACCATTATTTCAGTACCGCAAGGTCAATAGTCAGAATGAGATCACAGTGACCTTTTTTTAAGATGCAACACACCATTTTCCATGATGTACCTAGTCTTATATACAACATTTAAGAAACAGTAGTGTAAATATGTCCCGGAAAACCAGTCTAATACTATATAGTGACTACTATATAACTCTGACTTTACATTGGTCAAGCAGTGAATCAGAACTGACTGACAGCTTGCATGGGTGAAGGACTTGAAACTGGTTGCGTTGTTTTGTCTACTTGTAGACACATTATTGATTGCACAACTCCTCGGAAAGTATTGCACTGATTTGAATGATACTGGGCACACATAAGAGTTTGCATCAAAGGGAGTGTGAAGGCGTTATATATATGTCCTTACGTTTGAAATGTATTGTGCCAATTTGAATAATACTTGATACACATGATACTTGCATCGAGGAGAGGTGGGGGTGAGAATAAACAATCATATGAATTTTAGCTACCTCCCCTGTTCATGCATTTATGCCTTTCTGTTTAAAAATGATATTGAAAGAACTTTATTAAAGATCTTGGCGCCGGCAAGGTGTATTAGTCCGGCATTCTATGATGGCAGTTCAAGTTTAATCAACACTCAGACGTAGTACAAGTTTGTAGTTCAAATGTAGATATTAGGTCAGACATAATATCAACAACAATCTGGAATACAGAAATGTATTTATTATTTTGTACAGAAAGGTTTGTTACAAGTTAGTTCAAAATAGCTGTATATAAGCATTCTGGATTCTATAAACTGGTCACAAGTTAATTATCATGTTTAGTGTTAAAGTTTAATATACACTTCAAGAATGTGAATACTTTGAAGTAAGTACTGCTAACTATTAATCTTGAATTCTGTCATCCTTTCATAACAGTACTGGAACTTCAGTATCATATTATATATATATGATGATTGAATTGCTGTTTTGAATAAGAATAAACACATTGCAGTTCATGGTGTTGTTGAGCAGTTTATGGTGTTGTATGAGCAGTTTTGTTTCTACCAACTTATGACTGGTATTTCAATTGGCATATTAAAGTTGCATATGTACATAATAGTATTCCTACTTTTTGAATTTTCTTATGACATTACATTGGTAAAATCCCTTTACTGCAGAGTCTTGTTATTTTGATTTCAATGCGATGCTCAATAACTAGATGAAAGTTGTAGAAATATACCAAAGTTCTTTGCATAAAGAATATGTTATCTTGTTCATGTCTATGCTTGTTATCCATGCATATTGCATTGTTTAAAATAATGAGGCTCAACTTTATGAAGGCATATACTGTCAACTATCTAGTGTAGCAGAACAAAAGTGTTGAGAACATCAGGGTTTAAACCGTTCAACTTGTGCTGCTCTAATAATTCCCTCTAGAACATATGTAACAGGATAAAGAGAAATGCAACAGCGAGACCAGGGTTTGAACCCGGGACCTTCTGAACTGTGGACATATGCTCTAACAATTGAGCTACCTGGTCTTCATTGATCAACCCAGTTCAGTTATACTACATTCCTCCCTCCTTTCTCAAAGTGTTCGCCCCTGAATATGATACTATTTACAACTCTGGATCAGATATCCCTGCTTAGCATTGACTCAGTGCTTGAGGAAGGTTTGGCAAGCTTGGCAATTTTGTAATAGGAAAAAGAGAAACGAAACGACCAGACCAGGGTTTGAACTACTAAACTCTAGACAGATGCTCTACCAATTAAGCTACACTGTTCCTTGTCGCCAACGATCAACCCATACCAGTTTTGCTACATATGTGCACACCTGCTGCACCAGTTTTTAACAAATATTGAACAAGTTATTAGTACAAACTCTGAATTTTCAAACTGTTTAATTTCTAACCTGTTCCATATATGCCTACCATGTTCAAAAGTGAATATGCAGATAATTCTGGTGTTCTCTTACACAAGTCGTTGCGTGGATGCAAAATTTGATGGAAATTTGTAAAATTGTCAAAATCGAATATTACAACATATTCACAAACACTACACATGACGTGTACCAGCTGGTTAACATTACAATACATGAATGACAACTGAACATTATGGAGTATTACCGATCGCAACATTTTCTATTCGAGATAACTATGCCATTTTAGCTTTCTCAAGATTTGATGATTAAACATCTGGCTAATTCAGAAACCAAGGTTGAAGAAAAAATACCATATTATTACACATATAACCGTGGATCTCCCTGCTTAAATTTTACAGCCAAATTGTGTGAAATATCAATAGGAATATCGTGCATGACAGTAGAAAAGTTATAGACCTTACACGACTAGATGTAACAGTGTCTGAAACGACAGGATGCTGTTTGAACGAGTCGGCACCATGCATTGCACATGTGATCGTCTGTGAAGTTTAACCACTTGACCTCTGACCGTCCGCAAATCACCCGGATCAAAGATGGCGGACGGGTAACTATCAAAACGTCTATACATATATATGTACCGCCTGGGGGCGATGTACAATCTGAAGCGGTACGCCGTTTTTAGACTGTACAAAGCCTAAACGACGGATTAAAATTAGGATAAAACTGTATTACCACTATAAACTGTATAATACGACCCATAAAATAGGTCCTTTCGCTCATTCGGCGTAAAACCCTACAAGGTTAGCGGGGGTAAAGGAAGGGGAGCCGACAGTGCTATATGGACCTATTAGTTAGGTAGGAATAACGGGATAAGCGAATCTTGAAATAATAATCAAAATCTGTTTATCTAACACAGTTAATAGGGGTAATATTAATAATATACAATAAATCAAAATACTCAGACCGTTTTTTTTAAACCAATAACACAGCGATATTATACCTAATAAAACGTAATATATACACAATGTATATAAACATAAGCACATACACATTAAAGTAGAAACACCAAAACTTAAGTATAATGATTCAAAATCAGTAACAGTTTACTTTCATTATCCAGAAAATCTACACCAATTAGTTAAATTAGAAAAATAAAGCCTTACAATTACTTCGAAGAATATAATGAAGCTGTTACAACAAGAGACATTGATCTGTTGGGGATACAACTCCTGATGTATATGTTAACTCATGAAGCTACCTGCTTAGTAATGGCACTTAGGTATCTGTCAACGAACTCTGTCTCAGACATAGTCAGAAATATAACACTGTCCATGTTGTGGCAGTCAAAGTGGTAACGGTGGAAGTTTGCACTGGTCACCATGACTTCTACTTGTCCTTTATTTACACATGCCATGAATTTTGCGTGGAAATATTTTCGTCGTGAAATCTTAACTCTTTCGTGAGCTTTCTCCAGTATAGTGACTTTATCCTTGGATTTCAGGTTTTTTTGCTTCTTTAAAAATTTGTGATATCTTTCGTTTCTTATCACAAGCCTCGCGTACATATAAGCCTTCCAAGCATTCAGATGATTTGTGTTTACGGACTGAACTGAGTATGTCCAATAATCTGCGGGTGTCTAGGAAAGGTGTAACTATATAAACTTTGTTGGTCTGGTTACTGAACCAGAAGTCCAACAATTCTTTCCATAGTGGATAGACATCGTTACAACCGTCCAGAACACGTCCTTGTCGTAGACCCTCCAACTTTTTGTGTAGTGGTTCCTTCTCCTCCTGCTGTAACATAAATATCACCTTTGTACGAGGGTCTAGTAGAATTATCTAATTGATAGAAAACCCCTCGTTTCACTGCAAGATCCCTGTTCTTATTATCAGTGAAGTAAAACATGTCATTTGGATTTTAACACTTCTACTCCCTTTATATAGGGCTGCTAGCACTATATGATGATACATATATAAGGAAAAGCAGCAGAATAATTATTTAGTGTTTACTTTATCTATTACACGAAACTGTATAATAGCTATAAGGGGAATCAGCATTATAGGGGGAATTGGGGAATACAGGACGTTTACATATAGAAAACAGTATACTGAGACTATTTATAATAAAACGGTTTAATGATGATCTTATCAATAAAAGAAAGCAGTATAATGGCAATTTATAAAATAAACAACAATATTATCACTGTCAATGAGGGGGAAATTTTCAGGGGTAACAGTATGACTGTACATTCATACTGTTTATAATTCAAACAGTATAATGAGAATTTGTTTATTAGACAAGTGTGGTGACTACCTTGTTCATAAGCAGTATATAGACAACAAACTGTATAAGGGAAAGCACTATAACTACTTACATAAAATCAAGCTAAAACTAAAAAGATCTATATACAAGTCAACAATATAATGAAGTATATAAGAGTAAACAGTATAATGAATCATATAAGAGAAAGCAGTATAATGAAGTATATAAGAGTAAGCAGTATAATGAATTATATAAGAGTAAGCAGTATAATGAATTAAATAAGAGTATGCAGTGTAATGATTTATATAAGAGTATGCAGTGTAATGATTTATATAAGAGTATGCAGTGTAATGATTTATATAAGAGTATGCAGTGTAATGATTTATATAAGAGTATGCAGTGTAATGAATTATATAAAAGTAAGTTCAAGTTCAAGTTATTTATTACTTTAAGGATGTACACCTCTGAGAAGTCAAAAAATTCCTGTATTAAACCTTTTTTCTTATATTTATTTTTGGAAAAAGGAGTTGATGGCATAGTAGAAAACGCAAAAAAGACTATATGTCGGTGTGTTCGTTTTTATGCTATGGTCGGTTAAAGATACCAATTTAACACAATATGTGATTTTAGGTGAATTTTCGGGTTTTGACCATTTGCAGAACAAATTCATACAATTTCTTCCAAGTGTGTTATCAGATATGTACGAATGTTTGTAGAATTGATAAAAATATTATTTTCTTTGAGACTTTGGAAGTAAAATGTCTTAAACTTATTCATTTTACTGAGAAATGCGATTTTAGTTACCCCTACCCCTTATTTTTTAATGAAAAAATGCACATTTTTCACCATTTTTTGCAGATTAAACGCTTGATATAAAAAAATCCTGTAATAAACTTTTTTTAGTATTCAATGAATCAAAAGAAAATGTGTTTCTCTTTCTAAAACAGCCACAAAAATGGGGGGTCGGTGTGCTTCTTTTTTTGTCCCAATATTAATTGTTATTTTTCACCTTTTTCGGGGTCAAAAATCAAAAGTGCTTCAGTTACCCTAAGATGTAAAAAAAAAAATATGAATAATATATAACTTTCCACTTTTTTGCATATTATTTTAATCATGTTGAACATTATAAAGTTGTACAGCAAAATTGAACCTGCTACAGTTAAAGATGGTGACACAATGACAATTTAAGTGATCAATCTAGTGTCAAATAAGGTGAATTTTGGCCCTTTGTGAAGCGCAAAAAATTCACATAAATACACTTTTTCAAAATGGCCGCCAAATTGGTCATTTTTTAAAATTTCTTATAAAAAATGTTCTACACACAACAGACATCTAGTTTTTTTTACATGTTTTTCAGATGTGTGTTTGCTATTATACCTTTCATAAATTGTAAAATATTACAAAAACCCGTTACACCTGATCAAAACGAGACTTGAACGTGACTGAAACCTCAGAAGAGTACATCCTTAAGTCGGTTGACTTATCAGTTATAACATATATACAGAGACAACATATAATATGATACACACACACATACACACACGCCTACACACACACACACACACACCGCGGAGAGTGAACACTAACCAGCAATCAGCTCAGATCTCCTTCTGTTTGCTTGTATTAAAAATTTGCCAAGTGTCGAATGTCGGATACATTCTCACAAGGAAGTAGTTGTATTAATGTATAAATGCTTGTTTGTCTTGCATAATATTTTTAAATTAGTTTCAACCTTATATTAATATAGCAAGGGCATTTTAAAATGAAATGGAACTCATCCTCGACATATTTCAGGTCACATACTGTACACAATCTGTTTTGTCTTTCAGTTCTATTATATCTACCACACTCAATATTTAACTTATGTGAAGACATTCGAATTTTACATATTTGTTTCAAATAATTTATATTGACAGGTTTTGATAAATAAGACTGGTGACCAAAATTACACACATATTGATACAATGCTCCTTTAGGAGAAGATTGATTTTTTTCAAAACATTCTTATCTGAATATGTCACAAAGACGTTCTTTTATAATATGAAAGTGTTATTATTTAAACTGGAGGATTCCCACACATTTCCAAGACCAATTCTGTATAATTATTGTTTTACACTCATTAACCAAATGTCATTATTACAAAGCATAACATCATAGCATGACCTTAGAATACAATTTCCTACATTTCTGTTTTATCTAATATTTGAATATACGTAATTTTCTAACATTAATAGATTTTTTTTATGTAATCCTAATATTTGTTTGCAGAATCTCACATGCAATTTTTCGATATCTGGTGCGGCATGGAAGCCCCATACTTCTGCTCCATAACTTAAAACACTATTTACATAAGTATCAAAAACAGACAATTGAGTTTCTATATTAAAATAACTTGCTTTTGAGTTTGTCTAAATTTTCCGTTAAAATTCAATAGTACACCCAGGTAACTGAATTGATCGAGAACATCAAATTTATTTCCTTCGTTAAACCATATTTCATTTCCCCTGAACATCCCTCCATTTCTAAACACGACAATTTTTGTTTTCCCAGTATTTACGGTCAAATCTCATTTTTTTGGTATAACATTGTTTGCAAACCCTCTGGTGTCCAGATATAATCACCATATCATCTGCATTCCAAAGTAAAAACATATTGATATTCTGTATTTCAATAGATGGACAATTATCTGATAAAAACTGCATTTCACAATCATTTACATATAGAGCAAACAAAAGGGGTGATAATATAACCCCTGAAATAATCCGTTTTCAATATAAAAAAAATCGGAGAGTGTACCATTATATTTAACACAACATTTCACACTTTTATATAATGATCTGATCACTTTAAGAAGTTTACCTTCTACACCTTCCTTGAACATTTTATACCATAAATTATGTCTGTCAATAAAAGCAAACGCTTTTGTATAATCTAATAAACAACAACAGAGACGTTTTTCCTTTTTTAAAGTACGATTAATTAAAGATTGTAAAGCGAAAATGGCGTCTACAGTAGAAGCGTGTTTTCTAAATCCAAACTGGACGTCTGTTACTTTATTATATTTCATTTCAAACAATACGAGTCTTTTATTTATGATAGCAGTTAAAAGCTTACCCACACAACTTAACAAGGTGATACCTCTATAGTTGTCCGTGTTATTAATGTCACCTTTTTAAAAACAGGAACTATATTACCAAGTGACCACGATGACGGGAAATAACCAGACTTGACTATATTATTGAATAATAACAATAAACATGGCATTAAAATATCTTTGCAATTAATAAAATATTCATCAAAAATTTCATCTTGTCCACAAGCTTTATTAGCTTTACTTTTTTAATATCAGCCAGAATCTCAATCTCTGTTATTTCTATATCTAGTTCATGAGGAAGTAGATCATAAGAATTCACGTCATAATCAGTATGAAAGTCGGATATGTCCCTGTCTATCGCGTGCTCAACAGATCCCTTAGGAATAAAAGTGATGGTAAAAATCTTATACATTTATATCCACATTTAAATTTTGTTTACGTTTCCTAAACGTTTTGTAAAAAGTTCGCGGGTTGTACTTTCTTAAATAATTTAACATGTCTCCTTGCTGACATTTATACTCTCTTTTTAACTTATATTCATGTTTCCTATACATTTTTTTTTATTTACTAGTAATTCTCTGTTCACATTAGATTAACAAACATTAAAAGTATACAGTGCATATCTATAATCTCTATATCGTTGTTTACAGGAATCCGTAAACCATAGCTTATCTCCCTTGATAACATTAGTCTGCTTACCTGTGCCTTTATGAAGCAGTATAATGATTTATATAAAAATAAGCAGGATAAGTATTAATAAAAAAGAAAGTAGTATAATGAATTATTTAAGAGTAAGCAGTATAATGATTTATATAAGAGTAAGCAGTATAATGAATCATATAAGAGAAAGCAGTATAATGATTTATATAAGAGAAAGTAGTATAATGATTTATATAAGAGAAAGCAGTACATGTATAATGATTTATATAAGAGTAGGCAGTATAATGAATCATATAATAAGCAGTATAATGAATTATTAAAGAGTAAGCAGTATAGTGATCTATTTAAGAGTAAGCAGTGTAATGAATTATAACAGAGTAAGCAGTATAATAAGTTAAATGAAAGTAAGCAGTATAATGAGTTGTATAAGAGTAAGCAGTATGATAAGTTGTATGAAAGTAAGCAGTATAATGAGTTGTATAAGAGTAAGCAGTATAATAAGTTGTATGAAAGTAAGCAGTATAATGAGTTGTATAAGAGTAAGCAGTATAATAAGTTGTATGAAAGTAAGCAGTATAATGAGTTGTATAAGAGTAAGCAGTATAATAAATTATATAAGGAGAAGTAGTATAATGACTTCTAATGCAAGATGGCCTATTAAAAAAACTATATTTATTCCTGTATAAACAATTGACTTTCGTTCGCCATGTGATATATTTGAGCTAAAACCAGTGAAATGATTTTAAAGACTATATATTTTTTTAGATGAAAGATTTTAGAAATAATTTGAAATGTTTCATTTGATAAAAACTATTTACTATAAAAACAAATCTTACCAAATTCAGCTTTTGTAGTGTCTTGCTCAAGACATCAACCTGGTCAACTGCAAAGGCTCCAGCTAACGTTAAAAGAAAGAAAAACATAGTGAGTTTCTGGGCAATTGGTCACTTTTACTGAATTTTCGGGATCTTCCTCCAAACAATAGTGGGAAAAGCCCTGAGGTCAGCCCCTGAACAATATAGTGTCCTCACATAGGAGGGTTCTCATTCAACATTCATCAGTCATTCTTTTTTTTCATTTACAATAAGTAGTCTATTTGTATTGAATAAAACATTTTTAGAGGGAGATGGGAAATAAAATATTTGCAAATAGAGTAAATGACAAGAACATAAAACATACTTCTTTCACACCCTTACAAACTCCATATACACCATAGTTTTACATACATTGATAACCTAGGTAAATAGACAGAGTACTAGTATACACAATAACCTAATACAAAAAATAAATATTATACTCATGCATCCATATATATATATACATTGAGAGAGACCGACATACATACATACAAACATTGAGACAGACAGACAGACGCATTAATATGCACATATATATCCAAAAGTTAAGAAACCAGAATAAAATCACAGACTTATCTTTACTCAACTTCTGTGCAAACCAGTCTGAATGACACCATAATTCTAAGTTAAATATCATAACAGTGAATTGATTTAAGTGAAAAACAACTATCATTAGAACATCACTGCAAAAATCTTGAAACAGGAACCCATGATATGCATTCATGCACATTAATATATAATGAATAATGCTAAAAGTTAAAAAATGTTAATTGATTGAAGAACGTTATCAGCAAACGATGATTGTTGTGAATGGCTGACACCAGGAAGTTATGCTAGCGAATTATGATTTTGTGCTTGCAAAGCATAAATACCATACACAAACAGTTCGATACTTATGTTTACGTCAATTTTTCTATGTTCTTTTTAACTTACAATTTATATTTAAAATTTAAAATTCCCGCCTTATCGACAGTTCCTAAAAAATCGTTCAATAGTTTGAACAGTGTGTTGTTGCGTGCTGATTGGCAAAGAACGTATATATAGTACTTTGAAATTTCAACAAACACAATTTAGTATCAATACAATTGCGTATGACATGTCTATAGGATGATTTAAGTGTATCAATAGAAATCTGAGCTGAAAGTTAGATTTGAAATTGTTTCGATTTTTCCCCGTAACAAATTTAGTCGATCACCCTTAAAAGCGTCTTCAAGTGACAACAAGCGTCTTCAAGTGACAACAAGCGTCGCCAGACAAAATCTTAAAAATTACCGAATAAAGTAAGCGACATCAGAAGATATGTTGTTAATAAGACTATATTACACCTCTATACCAAATTTCAATTTGATATTTGAAAAATTGACCAAGTTATGATGCAACAAGGTCGTGATTTTTGTCTACTTTATCAACTGGTATCCTAGCTAACATCAAGTTGGTGTTCAATTATATGCCTAAAAATGTAAGACATGTGGTAGATTGTACTTTTTTCTTCTGCTTTATTGGAATGCCAACTCTTTCACATAATTGCAGGAAATTATCAGGGCAATCTTACAGTCTGGTGTGAAGGAACGACCGACCAACAAAAAAAACAGCCAAGACAGTACTACCTCAGGCGCTTTAGAATAATTTAGCATTATCCAATGAAGGGCCGAACTTACTTTCTCAAACAACTGACACGAAATCGCACAACCCAAAGGTCAACACTTATCATAATAATATAGGCTATCTATCATCATTCCCTGTAGTTCGTAATCCCTCGGGGGCGCGGGAACCATCCTAAAAGCTGATTCTAAATCAGGTTTGGCAATTAAAGCATTCTTACCGCACTGATTGATAAGAAATGCAGCATCATCTAGAGTTTGATACTCAACAGTTTTGTCATCGACGTGAATCCCATCATTGATTGAATGACCGGGGAGAAGTGAAAAATGGTGGATAAACCTATATTCCCCTTCCTCCGTTTTGGGGACTAACCCCAGAGGTGATATCTGGAAATTTGGAAAAAGAAGACGACTAAATGGCCCTGCAATCCTATTGAGCAAGATTTCCTTGTTCATTTTGTTTTTAAGTATATCTGGCTTCTCCTTAGATGACATTAAGCTTGGACTAGCTCGGTATCTTCTGGTCCCATAAAAACCGATAGAAACCCCCCTTGAAAACCCTTGGTCTAAAAAATGAAACTTACCGGCGTTATTGTTTGAATTTTGCTTCGATTTGCTGGTGGATTGTGTGGAAAACTTTCCTCTGAAAGTTGACTAGTTCCGGGCAGTGGGACCTCCTCCTCCTCCTCCTCCTCCTCCTCCTCCTCCTCCTCCTCACTATTGTTGTGGGTTTGCTGTGTTACTAGTGCAGAACGCTGGGCCGCTCTTCTTTTAGGTCGCATTGGTGGCATCATTCCTTAAAAAAAATACCAGAAAGATGATGACATAATTGGCTTAGTTCCTAACTTCAACGCGAAATTGGGGAAGTTTGAGGACCATTAAAATTATTCAATGTTTCAAATCTGCATGGCCATATAGATATAATTAGAGTGATGTTTCACATTGTGAACCCACATGTATCAATAATGATTGAATATAAAACCATATGATAGGAGCCTGTATCAGCTAGGACTGCTAACTGCCTCTGCTAAGACAAAGTTAATTATCGTGCCCATTATCGTGGCATGCCTGGACAAATCTTTCTAAAGTATTTATACAATATGTTTCACTTAAAACATACAGCATAACCTCCCTTGTCCACGTATATGGTAGATACCCCACCTGAACATAAATCACAACTATGGTTATGCTAACTACGTGTAAAATTACAGTAGCTCAACTATGGTGATAGGCTTAATTAAAGAAACACTCACAGCCCCACAAAAGCAGTTTATCCACAACTATGGTGCAAAATACCAAATATGGAAGCTACCCCACCTGAACATAAATCACAACCATGGTTATGTTAACCACATGAAAAATAATAGTAGCTCAACTATGGTGATAGGCTTTATCAAAGAAACACTCACAGCCCAACAAGAGCAGTTTATCCACAACTATGGTGCAAAGCCACATGTGAAAACATTACCGCTCAACAATGTTGCTGGCCTCATCAATCACTAGGCCTAGTTATCCAAAGCCCAGTGTCTCGATTTGAGGTAAAAAAAACCACTACAAAACTACAGTGATAACTGTTTTAGTGCCTGATAGGTTGTTTTTAGGCATTATTTGCGCCTACTCGCTTTTGAATCAGATCTGTACTACCACAGATACAACATATCTACTTACCTGAAGCGCTAGCCTCCATGTTTAATTTTCGTTATTACGTTACTCATTTGCTACGTGACTTTCCCACCCTGTTTTGGCCCGTGAAGACATTTTCCAAGTGACATTTAGCTAAATCACGTGATTGAAAGGAGTGCGCATGCGCGAACTGAGTAGACGAACAATATCTGAGCAGTTCAAAATACGCTGCGAAATCACTGTTTATAAGCAATCAAGCCTATTTCGAGGAACATCATCCTACACACGAAACGAGTCATTTTTTTAACTAGTTTCAGTAACAAATCGGGAGAAAATTGTGTGACCAGAAGCTTCACAGACTCTGTAATGAACCCCAGCTTCTAACCTCTGAAAAACAAGTAGTCCAAAAAGCAACAGAACAACGTCAATGCTAGACACTTCTAACACCCCATCCAACTTAACACCAGGCAAAGTATCGGGACTGAAAATTCGATTACCACCGAAAAGAAACTTGCGCATTGTTACCGTTGATTGTAGAAGTATTAAAGACAAATCATCAGAGTTCAAAACTATGTTAGAATACTCAAAACCAATTGTAATTGGATGTGCGTCATGGTAAAAAGGAATAAAACCAGGAAAATCCAAAACAGATGCAATCTTATCTTCAGAGATATTCCCAGAAAATTACACTTCTTACAGAAATGACCGCGGAACACTAGGGGGAAGAGTCTTCATACTTGTCATTAAAGACATTATCTCAACCGAACAACCAGAACTAGTAACCAACTGTGAAATTGAATTGGTAAAAATAAACGTTTAAGATGCGAAAGACCTTATCATTGGCGCTTTCTACATGCCACACAGGGATACCAAAACTATCGACGAGCTAGACAAATCATTGAAATCAGTAACATAAAACCTTTCTGCAAATAACATCATACTTACAGGTGATTTTAATTGTCGTGTCATAAACTGGGAAACCCTAATGATACGACACTAAGCAAATGACAAAGAAATCCAACGTCAGCTAATGGATACAACTATATTAGCAGGCCTCTCGCAAATCAATGAAAAACCTACAAGAGAAAAGAGCCTACTTGACCTAGTATTTACAAATCCAAGCCTAATCAAATCATCGAATAATATAACAATTATTTCGGACCACGACATTGTAGTCACTGACAAGGACACCAAACCACACTACAAGAAAACATCAAAAAGGAAATCTTACATGTGGAGTTGAGCAAATTGGGTGGAAATGGAAAAGGAAATTGACAGTCTTAGCCAAACCATTAATAACATGGTTGAAAACAAAAAAGGAAAAGAAGACTGCTGGCAGAAATTCAAAAATAACCTAATAGACTTACTTAATTCAAATATACCAACTAGAACTGTAAAATCCAACAATAATCTACCAAGGTTCAACAAAAGGATAAGGAAAATGCTGAAGAAAAAACAAAACCTTTATAACCAAGCCAAAAAGACGGGAAATTGGAATAAGTACCGGCACTATCAAAGAGACTGCAAACGTGAAATAAGGAAAGCGGAAATCGCTTATGTAACCAATGTTATACAAGAGGGCTTCGATCAGAACAACTCGAAACCATTCGGGAAATATGTAAAATCAAGGGACAGGATAACATAGGGGTGACAGCACTAAAATCACAGGGCACCCTTGTCAGCGACAGCAAAGAAAATGCACAAATTTTACTAAACCAGTTCTCATCTGTCTTCACCCGTAATAACAACAAAGTCTCGCCAAAAACACGTATAAACTTAATTCATTCGATTCCTAATCTAAATATTAAGCAAGAGGGAGTAGCAATTAAAAGCTCCTACGAAATATAAATCCTTCTAAATGTCGGGGCCAGATAACATTCCAAATCGTATTCTAAAAGAGTGTGTAGACCATATATCACCCATTCGGACACAAATCTTCAAGACCACAATAACAACCGGTGAGCTACCAGTAGACTGGCTAAGTGCAAACATTTCCTGCATCTTCAAAAAGGGAGATAAACACTCAGCAGAAAATTATCGTCCAGTATCACTAACATCAGTACCACGAAAACTTCCAAAACACATAATATGCAAACATATATTAGATCATCTGGACAGACATAGGGTACTTACATCTCTGAACCATGGCTTCCGATCAGGATACTCCTGTGAAACTCAACTCATTACCACACTTGACGACCTACTGAAATCTTTTGACAGTGGCAAACAAGTGGACATGGCAATACTTGACTTCTCCAAGGCCTTTGACACAGTTCCCCATGGGAGACTACTCCACAAGCTGGATTCATATGGAATCAGAGGACCTCTGCACCAATGGCTAAAAACCTTTCTAACTCGAAGGAAATTGTGGGTAGCCATAGAGGGAGAACTCTCTGAAGAGCCAACGGTTGAGTCAAGAGTACCACAAGGAACAATACTTGGACCCCTACTCTTCCTTTGCCATACAAATGACTTGCCAGACTCTGTGAAATCAACAGTTAGACTTTTCGCAGATGACTGCCTACTCTATCGAGAAATAATCTCAAACAAGGACCACGAAACACTTCAAGGCGACCTTAAACAGCTTGAAACTTAGGCTGCAAACTGAGGGAAGAAATTTAATGCCAAAAAATGTTACATTATTTAAATTAAGAAGAAAAAGAAAAACACATACCAACTTAATGGACAAAACTTAGATCACGTACAGACAAACCCATACCTAGGATTACAATTAACAGGGGATATAAAGTGGAAGGAACATATAGCAAGTATCACAAAAAGGCCAGTTCTACCTTAGGCTTCCTACGACGCAATCTACAACACTGTCCCAGAGAATGTAGAAAGATAGCATACATAGCTCTTGTCAGATCCATCTTGGAATACGGAGCAATACGCTGGGACCCGTACATAAAGACGAACATTAACAAATCGGAAAGCATCCAACGGAGAGGGGCGCGTTTCATCCGGAAGGTTTACAGAACAAGGGAAGAGGGATGCATGACAAAACTACTCAAAGAGCTGCAACTTTTACCACTAGCATCAAGACGAAAACAACAGAGACTAACATTCTATTATAAAATAGTAGAGGAACAAATTCCATCAATGCTTAGCAAAGACTTTATTAATTTCCAACGTGAAAAAAAGGAAAACACGACAGCGTATATTCCAAGACTGCGAGACATCAAGACCAATTCCAAATTAAATAAGTAACAATAACAGAGCAGTCATAATACCCAACAGCAACACGGAACAATACAGAAACCCATTCTTTGTGCGAACAGCCACAGATTGGAACCACCTGGACGACATCACAGTCGGGGCGCAAGGAATAGCGGCATTTAAAACATCAATCCCTACTAACTGGGATTAAACGAAGCTAAGTATCGCATGCGTACCTAATCCCCTCCACATTAAAGCCATTTTGGTGTCTGTGGAGTATAACATATAGATAAATGTTATTGGTTATGTAAAAAGAAACTCTCATAATCCATACTTACCAACCTGGAGAAAATGTTTAGAAATATATAAAATATAGATAGATAGATGCATACGTTGTGTGCGTACTGTTCTTTTTCTTCTGTCAACGTACAGGCCTCCTAGTGGAGTATCACGTACTGCGGTCATCTAGCGCAGTTGTACCTGTTGGACACATATGTTGAAGCTGTCCAGTGTGGCGCTGTCCCCCGGCTGCTGCTGTGGTAGTATGGTGGCCAAGAGGAAAGAGTGCTGGTATACCTGGCTTCTGGCGAAGGGGACCGTGAATCTCCAGGAATGTCCTCTGCTAGATGATTGTACCGGCGATAGCTGTGTCGATGGTATAGCAACAAGATTCCCTTACAGTGTGCTCCCCTTTCCGACAGTAATGGCTACCAGCTCCAGGAGTAATGGTGTGACACTGGTGTTTTTTGGAATAGTCATTGTACACAAAGCGAGCCGATCATCTTTGCACTGCCTCCAGCTTATTGATGTTGTCCTGGGTGGACGGGTCCCACACTGTGCATGCATAATCCACCAGGGGGCGAATAAGAGTCTGGTAGCAAAGTGCTTTGGTGGTCCTTGGGCACTGTCTGATGTTACGCTGGAGGAAGGCTCTGGTGCCATTTGCCTTTTTCGCAATGCTGTTGATGTGGGTTCCAGCTTAGTCCCTTGTGTAGTGTGACCCCTATATATTTC